ATGACCCTCTCACCCCTCCTCAAGTTAGGGTCATAAAACCATCAGATTATTGTTACTGGTTCACTTGTATACTACACAATTAATACTCGCGAACGGTATAAATGTTTTTCCCTCATACAGTAACTAAGGAGATTTTTTTCAGGTGAGGTGGCACTTAGATAAAAGGTGTGTAACCAGTGAGTTACAATCCTGCTAAGAAAATATAGAAACAGATTTTCATACCGATACTTGTGTGTGGCGGGGGAGGGGAGAGGTAGACTTTATATCAATGCACCACGCAGCGTGGTGCATTGATATAAAAATAGTTTGAGAGGTCAGAACATACAGAAGGAGATTGAAATAGTTTGATATCCATGTTTGAGTCTGACTGACGTGCCCGGGCTGGGAAAGAAACATGGTATGTGAACCAGGCTGCCCAGCTTATGTGGCATTTGTGTAGCCGAGTGAATAAGAGCGCTGCCTGGTAATTTTGCCCGTCCCAGTAGCAGTATCGAGTCCTGCTTACTGCGATGTTTCACTGTATATATATATATATATATAATATATATATAATATATATATATATATATATATATATATATATATATATATTATATATATAATTATATATATATATATTATATATATATATATATATATATATATATATATATATAATATATATATATAATTATATATATATATATATATATATATATTATATATATATATATATATATAATATATATATATATTATATGTATTAAATATATAATTATATATATAATATATATATATATATATATATATATATTATATATATATATATATATATATATATATATATATATTATATTATATTATATTATATATATATATTATATATATATATATATATATATATATATATGCTGAGCTTCAGAACTGTCTCTTCAGTACTCAAACAAACTAGTCCTCAGTACTCGATTTTCTGACAATTTATGGTCCAGCGTGCAGTCTTTCATTGCTCAGCAAGTTCAGTAATGCCAGTGGTGCTCATGTAATTGTCTTCACTACTAGATGGTCCGGAGTTGGAGCTCTAACGATTCCTCTCATCACATTATTACATTCATGGTAGTGTGAAATTTGTGTTGTCATGAATACAAGAACACCCGAGCAAATGTTACTTACGATGAACTGGCGTTGAAGGCTATGTCAAAAACGTGAATTAGGCCCTAGTCTGGAGTCTTTTACAGTCTTCTGAATTCAGTAAGAATTCTTAGTATTATTATTATTATTATAATCAAGGGGGAAGGGCTAAACCCGGAGGATTATACAGCGCCTTGGGGGGGGGGGGATGTGGAAGGCATTCAGGCTTAATTCGGGGAACTGGAGCACATCCAATTCCCTAAATCAAGAGCCCCTCACCAACATCAAGGAACCTTCCTTGAGGGGAGAATTCTTAGTAACTTATACAAATAACCCGCACATAGAAGAAAGGAACTTACGACGACGGACCGAAACATCGTCAGTAGTTTCTTTCTCCTGTGTTCCAGTCACTGTATTGTGTCTGTTTTATTCTTTTCGGTAACTTCATTAATGCCCGTGGTCCTGTGGTAACGGCTGTCCAAATTGTCTGAAACCAATATCATTTTGCCCCTTTAAAAACCCGCCGCAGCTACAAAGAATGGGTAGGGAAGAGTGTCACGTATTTTGTGGAAATTTTCATTGACTTTGGCACAGATTATCTTCACATTAATTTTTTTTAAACTACTGAAATTTGAAATGAATTTCTACAATTCATTTTCATACATTTATTATATTTAAAGACTCATATGCAATTACCAAAATTTCGCACGTAACAAAATATAACATTGCTGTCATTGGCTGTTTTGACGCCTCTTTTCTGCTCGTGAAAATTCTCTTTAGCGCGTAGTATTTACTTACTTGACAACTCCGTCTATAAACACACAACCCAGGCGACATCACGAAACCTTGCATAAAGCCAACTTTAATTGAAAAATATCCCTCTCCTACACCCCCTAACTTAAACGTCCCTCTCATAAAAACTACAGCTCTTAAAAACTCGTGGTATTTTTTCAAACATTTTTAACACCAGCCATATCATTATCCACTCTGTTATTTTTTTAATTCATAAATTAATTAGGTTAGTCCATGTTTCGTGGTCCCTTACAACATCGTCCGAGCTGGGTATATATATATATATATATATATATATATATATATATATATATATATATATATATATATATATATAACACTCATGAAGTGCATTCTTAGTCCACACAATCATGGAATACTGACTGCTACGGTAGAAGTACAATGTGTGTATGTGGGTGTGTAGGTGTATGCCTGCATAATACACTGACAGATGGCAGGAGATGCCTTACTCCCTCCCACTCCCCATTTCCCTGCACATCTGGCTGCCTCAAGGTCTTAATGTTGTCATCTCAAGTTTGATGGCTTATCTTGGCTACGGTGTGTTGATACTTTTTCTCTTCTTACTATGATGTGAATGTGTCAGATGTTTACGTTCAGTTCTGGAAGATGTTATCCACCCGCCGTTATCTTTGTTCTTGTAATACACGTGATGAAGGTACACTTACTTCGTGATATTTAGACAGGAAAATGAAGAAGAAAATATAGAAAAGTTGTATTTGTTTTTATGATAATTTCATAACTTGTTTTACATTGAGAAAAAATACATACCAGTGATCGGTTCCAAGAGTTTTAACCCCTAAGCCAACTTGAGACCAAACTTTGTTGATCGCCTGGTCAACCAGAGTAGGTCGAATTCTCTCGTGAAAGCCTCTACCTCTATTCCCGAGATATTTTAATATCCTTAAATAGAATATCACTGGTATACGATACCCGGCATATTCTCCTCCAATATCTAATGTAATACGGCTATAACTAATATTCATAATATAATATTAATTGACGTTTATAAATTGTATAATTACATCGTATTTTCATATGTAATTTCTGTGACTAGTTTATGCCTGAAGTTAGAAGAAAGCATTATTCATTATTTCTCAACTCACCATCTTCCCTTAAAATTTAAAGGCCATTTGTTTGGATATAAACTTTTAATGTGTAGTAATTTCTTCTTTGTTTTCACCACAATCAATACCGATAATTGTACATCATGTCATGTACTGCAGTATACTAGATATAAATAAAAAAAGTTACCGCTTTAATGCTTGACTTCGTACCCTGATTTACGAGTTGATACAGTCTACATCTTGTTTTTACAAGTGTTCTAGTAATTTTTAACACACTGAGTGGCCTGCATCGTTGAGAGCTTGAGTTCAGTATTTATCTATGCAAGATAATACTGTTTATCATTAATATAGTTGTAACCTCTTGTGGTGATAAATATCCATCAATGCGAACATTGACAGTTGTACCAAACATTTGTTTACATACCTTTGTACATTAGCTTACAAAGAATGTATGTTTAGTTATCTTACCCAAAAATGATTATTATTATTATTATAATCATTAAACGCTAAACCCACACCCAGAAATTAAATAATCTATCACACATTATCCGTGGCTGATACACATTATTACGAACAACACCATAAGGAAAACTAAGAAAAGATGAGACTAGTAAGGAAAATGGATGAATTACATGAAACAATCGAAAAGGATAAGATGGACGACAGGACAAGAGGAAAAGTGAGAAGTAATGCCAGAAGCCAGTTAGGGGGAAATATACATTAAGGGGCACGTAAGTGCCCCCCGTCTTCTAATAACATGTTCATTTTCCCATATAATCTAACTTGTACATAATTACTATCGCATTTCCTTTGTTTCGTAAGGTGAAATCCAGGATCTTTACTTAATTCATGGTATAACTTAACAAATCTTTGAGGACAATTGTGTTAAGTTATACCATGAATTAAGGAAAGATCCTAGATTTCGCCTTACGAAACAGACAAAGCAAATGCGATAGTAATTATGTACAAACAAACATTTTATTAGAAGACAAGGGTACATACGTGCCTCTTAATGAGTTTATCCGAAGAGGCGGCTGACTGGGGGTTCAGAAGCATCATGATGTGTAGTGAATGTGTAGTTAACAACTGAGATCGCAGGATATGTGCTCTAGCCCTGGAGCCAACCTTTTAATGTTCGCCGGTTAACTAGCGGGAATTAACCCTGCCACTGTACCTTTGAACCCTTGTATGTAGTTAACACTTACTGTGTCATTGTCTATTATTATTATTATTATAATCAAAAAGAAGCGCTAAGCCACAAGGGCTATACAGCGTGTCATTGTCTAGAATCTAGATTCTACATAATTTCACGGATTTACAACTTACGTAGATGAATGTTTCAGAGAACGGACTAGTTGATAAATTAGACACATGTGTAACATTTGGGTATCTTTAATGAGGAAACGTTTCGCCACACAGTGGCTTCATCAGTCCATACAAAGGAAAATGGTGAAGAACAGGAGTTTGGAGGTAATCAGTCCCTCAGCCTTGAGTTGATGTTATCAGTCCATCAATCTTGAAAAGAATACAGCATATGTGCAGTGCCTGGAAAATGGGAAGTGACAGGTTTGATCGGAGTATGGGAAAGGTAGTCACAATTCCTAAGATCAAAGTACTCTCCTTGGCCTGGTCACAGACCGGGCCGCGGGGCGTTGACCCCCGGAACTCTCTCCAGGTAAACTCCAGGTACTTGTGTACACAAGTGTAAAATTAAGCGTACCGAGTAGTGTTGGAAATAACATGTATACTTGGTAGAGCCCAACTATCATTGAACATACATATTTGTGTGTTGTGTTTCACCACCGATGTGATGTGTTATTACAATCAAAACTAAGCGCTAAACCCACAAGGGCCATACAGCTCTGAATGTGATGTGTAATTATTTCCATTCCCTACAAACACTACCCAGGTGCATAGTGATACCAGAAGCGTAGGATAAAGATTTGAGACGAGGCTACGGCCCTTACGAATTTAGAGTTTTCTATTAATAATAATAATAAATGGGTAAGAAAACAGTTTTGAAAAATCTAGCATTTTATTCTAAAATTTAATAATACTGTACAAGGCAAATGCCATCTATTAAATATTTCCATCATAGGAACTTAAACTCTTAGGAATGTCTGTTACATTGGGTATTAATAATGTACATTGTAATAAAGATATTTCTGCATTAAAATATTTGTTAAAAATCAAAATACAGTAATACAAACAATATTACAAATATCAATAAGCAGGACAAACGGTTTACTAGTTTTCCTACTCCAAGTTCTGTTAACACAAATACTCTTATATAAACTTACGTGACACTGGTTCACAAATAAATACATCGATACAGACCATCACATATTGGTAAAAAATAGACAGCGTTAATGTCACCAATACACTAAACAAAAATAAATATTACTTTTATTCTTGTATTTACAACCACTTTGCAAGAACAGACTATATACACAAACACATGATACCTTAATGTTACCTGCACAACCATGTGCTAGAAATATAGCTTACACATTTTAAATGGAACAATTTCAGCTATACTTTATATCTGAGTGACAGTAGACATCTACCAATAAACTTAGGTCATTTCTACAGTGTAATCAGAGATGCTGCCTCCATGTTTTGCGGTACAATATAACAAATATTACTAGACCTACTTTTACATTGCGAAATGTTTGAGCCTTTTTAGACTCCACTGGTGAAATGTGATCAAGGTGAATGATGTGATCATACAATGCACCTGACTGCTCACGGTAAATAAATGATAGTGAATCGAGTGATGGTATGGTGTGTTAAGTGGTATGTTATGGCATGTAAATGTCTTGTAAAATGAAATGACTATTGCTATGATACGAAACGCGTAAAAACGAAAATGTGGTCTTAAACCAAAACTGATAAATACAACATCATTACACTTTGGTATAGCAAAAACTTTATCTGTTCATTTAGTTCTCAATTATTTTTTTTTTTCGTGGGGAAGCGCTAAAAGCTGTAGGAGTCATATAGCGCCTGGGGAATGGGAGATAATCAAATTTGATCTAATGAATAAGAGGGTAGTTCCACTTGTTTAGAACAAGAGCCCTCTACTGGCATCAAGGCGCCCTTTCAAGGGACGGTGACTACTAAAAGCACTCATAATTAACTTCACAGGTGTTTACTTGAATCTTAGGAATTTAAGCAACTGTTGATACTGTGTTCCTTTACACATTAATTTGCTTTCCGATAAACACATGTGCAACACCTGCGTCTCCATAAAATACCCAAGTGTTGGACATACTATGTCTTTTTACCTTGTCGATATTCTGTACTATTAATGTTACAAAATTTGCTTTTCCCCAATAGCACCATTTTAACTTTTTTTAAGGTAGTATCTAATATGATTTTTTTAGTCAATACAATACTTTTTGGGAGGAATAAAAACCCTAATGAACCTAAATTTTGCAAGTAAATTACAGGAATAATTTATCCTATCCCTTCAAAATATGATATATGCTAAATTCTTACATTTTAGCCTTAAGTGGTGCAAACTGAAGCTGTTTGTGAAACAGTTTATTACTGTTTACTACTTATTTATCGAAATCACCAATTCGATATTATAAGACTGTGTGATAGGGTTACTAATTATTTCTTGTCCTAAGCATGTTGCCTTAGGATAATTTCAAGTACTGAGTTCACAATTGGGATGGAGAGCCAAAGCAACAACGGGTCTTTAATACCTTACCTCTTAACATTTTTCATGTCTTGAGGCGAGTCCCTATGTCAGTGTTGCCTTACGGCAGTATTCGCTGCTTACGAGTATACAGCTTCATTATTTCTAACGTATATTGAGTGTTTAAGTCATTTTAAGATAGTATGAGTTTATCAGATGTTTGTTGTTATAGCAGTTGTTGACCATTACTTGGAAGCGGCCCATAAAGATCGAATAACACCCAAGTACCCATTAACGGCTAGGTTAACATAAGCAACGGAGTAGGAAAGCTTGCCTTAACTTCTCAACTTGCCCGGGATGGATGTATGAGCAAGTTTCCTTACACTCGTTGCCTCTGTTCCCTTGAAGTAAATAGGTACCTGAAGGTTAGTCAATTGTTTTCAATCCCTTCCTGAGAAATGGCCAAATGTTATAACAAACATCCGAGGAACTTACTCCCTCAAAATAATCTGTAATTAGAAGGAAGAGTTGGGAACGCCTCACACTCCAGGATGAGGACGTTCTATCTTTGGTAGCAGAACCTGGTCACCGTTTCCTTCCACAGGACTGCAACTAGCCTTGCCGGGTCCCTGGGGGAACATTGGCGATTATTGTTCTTGCTGGAAGAACAGTATGAGGCTGTGGCTATCAGATAAAAATAATCCATATGCGGCTGAGCATCTGTCCAATCAATCTAGGGCTTTCCGCAAAGGATAGGGCGCTATCGACTTTCTTTGGTAGATCTGGTTCGGTTCGGTTCTTATAGAAGGATGCTCTGGTTCAAATATTTTGCTGTCAGAACTGAAACTGTAGTCTACTTCTATCGAGAAAAGTGTTCAGATTAGTCTTCTAATAGGAAAAACAGCTGAAGGCTATTCTTAAAAGTTCCAGTTTATGTTTTCCATTAAGAACTATACTGGTTGGTTGAAAGCTTCCTCAGAATAACTTAGCGAGTTTGACGCTTTTTTCTGGAGAACGGCGCTGACTATGGGTTAAAAAAAAAAAGCCCAGCTCATAGGTATATGAGCGATAATTTCTAAAGGAATCTTCGTCTGTAGAGCTGCACAGCCTGTAGTCTGTTATAGAATTGCACAACCTGTAGCCTTCCTGGCCTGAAAGGCTTGCAGGAAACTGTAGCCTCTGGAAACCATGTGATGCTCATGGTTATGAAAGAAATTCGTGTGGCACCGTTGGTTCATGCAAGCAAGTGTAGGTCATGCATAGAACCTGCTCCTGGCGCAGAGACTGTTTCAGGAACGTGGTAGTCGTTGAGGTAACTTTGATGGCCGAATATTCAGGAGGTGTAGGGCACGTTTTCCCTCAAAACGGCCACATTCTTCATGCTGTACTTCTCGCAGCGTCCCCACCACGACCACTTCCGGCACACCTTCTGTTTCTCGAACCTGAAGCAACGAGTTTTCACCACGTTGAAGAACACGTTGCCCACCATGTCTGCGGCACCAGTGCCAGCCATCTTCAGACATGCTTTAAATCTGCCGAAGAAAATAAATTAAATAAGGAGAGGGCATACAGTCTAGCCTATTAACTAGGTGACCCAAAACTAGTGTGCTAACATTCAATGTGGGGAACAAACTATTCCACGTAATATTCTTAATACCACAAGAACCTATAAATATTAATACAATATATCGAAATGTGCTTAAGCCAGTTTACAAAATTACAGTGCCAAATCCTTATACCAATAATATTTTTTTTATAACGAAAAAACTAACGAAGTCATCCTGAGTAATATAAGTGTGAATGGAGGGGAAAACGAAACTGACAACCCATCATGAAGTATAGTGCTCACAGGTGCAAAACTTTACATCAATTATTATACTGTGTGATAGAATAACACTACGGAGTAATTGTACAAATAATTACATAAATATGTATATACACGATTGATAAATTGATTTAATTCCGACAAATACCTGACTATGGTGGTGACCCATAAATATAAAAATATTGAAGTAATTTTGATGGAAAAGAAATACTAATTTCATTTGTGAAAGTCATTACAGTAGTAAACCATCTAGGATGTAACCATCAATGATACTCTAGTACCTAAACTTGTGAATATGTTAAACCCTCATTGAATACATAAAAATAAGATATAACAAAGACAAGCTAAAACTAGTTATCACAACTTTAGCACCACTAGGCCAGACTTCTATCATACCCAGCTTATCAGATAATTATCTGTACTAACATGATGGAAATTATAATAGTATAAAAATATGAAAACAATCGCCTCAACATAATGCAAGACATGCCGATAACTGTAATCAATTTTTATACAGATACTGCAACAAACTTAAGAATCTTTTAGGTTCTCGCTGTCTTAAAAATCACCATCTGTGAGGCAAAAGGCAGTATAGCGAGTGTTATCAGTGTTCTACAGCAAGTTAGTTAGTGGGAGTTAGGGCAACACCGCCAAAATCCTCGTTAATGAGTGGCCATCACGACACCACCGCCTCGTGCCGGTCGCGCACACAGGAAATTGAAACAACCAAAGAATAATACGGCGGTAGGATGAGGCAGAAGGGAGAGGGAGGGAGATAAAAGAAAAGAAACGGGTGATGTTGACGGTGATCGGAGACAACGCCCGCCCCCTCACCACAACCCTCACTTCCCCTAACCGTCCACCTCCCTCTCCCACTCAGTCTCCAGACAGTAATCACCCTGAAAATATCACTCCTAAAGAGTTTTGTCCAGAACACTACTGCGAACCGAAAAAGTTTATCTCCAGAGTTTGATGGAGGTAGCATCCATCTCCACCTGACATCCACATTCCCTTCTGGGCGCTAGTAGTTCTCTCAAAAAGAGGTAAATATTTCTCCCTCTCTCAGTATTAACCATTTTAATCAAATCGTGAAATTCCCTGCGGTGGGGGGAGTTTTCCCCCCTTCGCGGTGACGAGGCTAAGCTGACGGCAGGTCCACTAATGCCACTAATTTGGCGGCGTCGCCCCGCTGGTAAAACTTTGACCCAGGAAACAAACCACCTCGCCGACCCTGGGTAAGAAACTACAGACCGGAAAACACAAAACATAAAAGCCACGTACAGAGAGTCTCTAAGAGATTATGATGTTGGATGGAGATGGCTCATCCTCACACTTTGTCTCTTCTGTACAAGATGGTTCTAACACCATTTTCCTTCAAGGGAAGTTCCTTGATTCCGGCGAGAGGCACTTGTTCTAAGGAATTGGACCTGTGCTCCTTCTTTGAATTAAAGCATAATGCCTTTTATTGCCCCAGGCGCTTCCCCATGAATGTAATAATGCTAACACCGTTCATAACCTTACTTTACTTTACTGAAGGCATAATAATTCATTCGATGACCATATACGCTTATCATTTATTGATAATATTGTTTTAACGTTAAAAATTACAAATAATTGAAATGCCATTTTAACAAAATAACGTCGATTCACAAATTGATCATGGTCTTGGCGACTCTAGTATTTAAATTACCGCAAGGTCGGCTTTTTTTTTTTTAAGCCTTGGCCAACACTGGAAACTACCCGTTAGCATAGTTATAACGCCTTCTCCCCTCAACCTTCCCCTATTATAATTTGTATACAAGACCCGGGAATGTCTCTTTTATCGTCACACACAAGTCGCATAGGGCCCACCCTTGTATTATTACACCACGATTCTCTCCTCGTCTTGCATCAGTTACCACGATTACTCATACAAGTTATGACTCCACTTTGGAATACCCAAAACCCGAGTCCACTCCATCAGGAAATTAAGTGATGCGTGGTAGTGTGAATGGCACAATGATGAGGAGGTAGTGAAGTAGGCAGTCATAATGTCCACACCATTGCACTGGTGGAGCGGCCTGCAACGTTCTTCTCTCTCATGGGAGGGGGATGGTTGTGTGTGGGGGGGGGGAGAAGAAGAAGGGAAGGACCATTGTGTACAGCAGCCCAGCCTTTGTCCTCAGCAGGCCTCTCACTCACTCGCCCGACCCTTTGTTCACACACTCTTGTATACATTTTAATGTCAGGCTTTAAATTAGAACTCTACATCAGACCAAGTGATAATGTAGCCTTTCAGGTTTTAGGAATTCGAAAAGAAGCTAATAGTCTCAACCCCCGCATAACTATTTAACAGGAAGATATACGCTTAATACACTATTACATTAGTTTAAATTACAATGAACAATACAGTCTGTATTAAATGTATGACTGTGCTGTCTAAACTAACGTGAAGACTCCTACATACATTCTCCACTACCCCCTCCTCATCTACCCCCTGTATACCCCTCGCTTCCCCCGTATCTGTCACTATTCAACGTTCATCTTTCACACTTCCAGATCCAAGCCATTTTCACGTTTTTATTTTTTATATAATTCTACTTTTTTTTTACCCTTTTTTTTATTAACAATATTAAGATGAAAGGTACAAGTTGATGGGAGAATCTCGTCTGATCAATAGTTTGTCATTAGTATAAGCTAGCGGAAAAGTAGGTAAGAATATTCTTATGCAAGATGCAAAACACGGGTCTTTCGTGTTGTAATTAACACATTATCAGGAGCTTCCAATGTTGCAACATTGCAAGCTCCTGATGATTTGATTGCAAGACGAGAGGCCTAGAGCTCTATGTCAACTCCAAAAGTGGTTGTTTTGTATCTGGCATCGCTTGTTTGCGATTTTTTGTATTCTTTTGTAAATAAACACGGCATTAGTTGCAAATGCTGATTGAAGGAAGGCTTTTGTACTATCTGCTCTCCACCCCCCCAATTCCCTCTCTTGGCTTCGCTACTGATTGCATCGTTAAAAAGTTTAAAGATTTTGGAGAATTAGGGACTACAGATTGTAGCTTGGAGATCACAAATGTGTTAAGAAACTCTTATGCTAAATTGAACATAGTCAAATTAGCCGTCAGATATATAGATCACAACTGTTAAAAACTAATTGTTCACAACAGATGTTCGAACAAACTTTGAATATATATATATAATATAATTATATATATATATATATATATTATATATATATATATATATATATATATATATTACCTGGAGAGAGTTCCGGGGGTCAACGCCCCCGCGGCCCGGTCTGTGACCAGGCCTCCTGGTGGATCAGAGCCTGATCAACCAGGCTGTTGCTGCTGGCTGCACGCAAACCAACGTACGAGCCACAGCCCGGCTGGTCAGGAACCGACTTTAGGTGCTTGTCCAGTGCCAGCTTGAAGACTGCCAGGGGTCTGTTGGTAATCCCCCTTATGTATGCTGGGAGGCAGTTGAACAGTTTCGGGCCTCTGACACTTATTGTATGGTCTCTTAACGTGCTAGTAACACCCCTGCTTTTCATTGGGGGGATGTTGCATCGTCTGCCAAGTCTTTTGCTTTCGTAGTGAGAGATTTTCGTGTGCAAGTTCGGTACTAGTCGCTCTAGGATTTTCCAGGTGTATATAATCATGTATCTCTACCGCCTGCGTTCCAGGGAATACAGTTTTAGGAACCTCAAGCGCTCCCAGTAATTGAGGCGTTTTATCTCCGTTATGCGCGCCGTGAAAGTTCTCTGTATATTTTCTAGGTCAGCAATTTCACCTGCCTTGAAAGGTGCTGTTAGTGTGCAGCAATATTCCAGCCTAGATAGAACAAGTGACCTGAAGAGTGTCATCATGGGCTTGGCCTCCCTAGTTTTGAAGGTTCTCATTATCCATCCTGTCATTTTTCTAGCAGATGCGATTGATACAATGTTATGGTCCTTGAAGGTGAGATCCTCCGACATGATCACTCCCAGGTCTTTGACGTTGGTGTTTCGCTCTATTTAGTGGCCAGAATTTGTTTTGTACTCTGATGAAGATTTAATTTCCTCGTGTTTACCATATCTGAGTAATTGAAATTTCTCATCGTTGAACTTCATATTGTTTTCTGCAGCCCACTGAAAGATTTGGTTGATGTCCGCCTGGAGCCTTGCAGTGTCTGCAATGGAAGACACTGTCATGCAGATTCGGGTGTCATCTGCAAAGGAAGACACGGTGCTGTGGCTGACATCCTTGTCTATGTCGGATATGAGGATGAGGAACAAGATGGGAGCGAGTACTGTGCCTTGTGGAACAGAGCTTTTCACCCTAGCTGCCTCGGACTTTACTCTGTTGACGACTACTCTCTGTGTTCTGTTAGTGAGGAAATTATAGATCCATCGAACGACTTTTCCTGTTATTCCTTTAGCACGCATTTTGTGCGCTATTACGCCATGGTCACACTTGTCGAAGGCTTTTGCAAAGTCTGTATATATTACATCTGCATTCTTTTTGTCTTCTAGTGCATTTAGGACCTTGTCGTAGTGATCCAATAGTTGCGACCTGTTCTAAACCCATGTTGCCCTGGGTTGTGTAACTGATGGGTTTCTAGATGGGTGGTGATCTTGCTTCTTAGGACCCTTTCAAAGATTTTTATGATATGGGATGTTAGTGCTATCGGTCTGTAGTTCTTTGCTGTTGCTTTACTCCCCCCTTTGTGGAGTGGGGC